AACATAGAAAATCCTCTGTAGATAAGAGTAGGCTTGTATTAGGCAAGTTCTGTATGGTTTCAAAATTCTATTCAGTCTTCCTGAGAATTAATAAATTTTTTCAATAGTTTATTCAGCTTTTTAGTAATATGTTACAGTTGAAGACTCACCAATTTTTTTCCCCAGTCAACTTTAAAAGCTTGAACTGAAATTTCCATTTTATGTATTTGTTTTTTAATTTGGACTGTAACAAATAACACGGATGTAAAGAAGCGCTGAACAAATGTAGGCTGCTAACTTTTTCTGTGCATAATAAGAGTACCCTGAAGTAGCTTAGGAGAACAGGAAGACACATCTGAGACTACCTAGTTCGGCAGAAAATTGGTTTACAGAATTGACTGTAAGCAAAAGCTTCATATATACCATTTGATACTACAGTGATGATAAAACCTTTTTTCTCTGTATGCCTGAAATGGAATGCAGCTGTTGTATTTGAAGATTGTGTAAACAAAGAACTGATGATATAAATGGTTAATTGATTCATCATGTGATATATCGGTGAGAGAAATGTTGATGTGGTAGAATGAGGAAGAAAGGTAGCTAATTGATGGTGGTTTTTTTTTATCTATTATGTTTTTGAGGTGGTGTCACAGTGAAGTGCATTACTGGATTGTATGTCTGAGAAGTTGCTTAGCACTCATTCAGGAGCACTCTTAATCAAAGTCTTAGATTATGGCCTTACTAATTTTATACGTATGTAGTTTAGTGCCTTGCTTCTGGGAGGCTTGAGTAGGTTGCAGGATACACTACTGCTGGCTTGTCACAGCTGAGGCCAGCCTTGGCTACATAGGATCTATTGGGTTATGTGCTGTTAATGTTCCCTAAACAAATCAAATCACAGCAACCACCTCTCCTTTAAGTAAAAGGTGAAAGTCCAGATAGGGAGTGAGCATGCATCCCAGTATACTACAGTTAGAACTGTGTGTGAGCAGGTGTGCATACAGTGCAGGTGCCTCATGGTACTTGGACACAAGGTGTCAATCTCTGAAGAAAGATGTGACTGAAATGCAAGGACTCTGGGAAATGAGTTTACTGACAAAACGCCCTGTGATGTTTCTAAGCTCTACTATGAAAGAGGAAGACCTCAAGGTAGAAATGCAGAAACTTGTAAAGAACAAAATAATCCCATAAATAAGTTCATCTGTCGTACAGTAGGTGATGACCTTATCTGTTTTTGTAGGGGACGCTTATTCAGGCATTTAAACAAAACCCCAGAATCTTATTCAAACATATTGGAAGTGGAATCTTTTCATAGTCTAGAAGAGTTTTTTAAATACTTCCACTTCTAGATGTATATGGTAATAGGGAAGATAGGACTATAGCAGTAAAATTAAAGATGTAGTTTTTTGTTTTTTTTTTTTAAAGAAAAGCTGTTCTGCTTTCTGTTTATCTGTGCTTATTTGAAGGGACTGCAGTGCCAGAAGTCCTTGTTGTTGAGAGTGCATGAAGGATTTTCCTTTCTTTTCTTTTGTTAATAACTCTGAAGAGGAATATGGGATAAAATAACAAAATTAACAATAAAGAATTGCAAAGATCAGATATTCAGAGTTCTAAAAATCTGGCAGCTGTGATTTATTATCTGTCCTTGAAACTGCTCTAATACTAGAAGATTAGAAGATGTAAAAACTTACCATGCTTACCAGATCGATTTCACTTTCTGAAGAAGTGCTAGTGTGATCGATGTACCCAAATGATCATTAGCATGATCACTAGATGTTCACCTTGTGCATGCTAGTCTTTTAATAATAATAATAGTTTTCACTGATTCTAAGAGAGTCATATCTCTCAATCTATTACAAATTGTTTAAAGAACTCGATAAGCTTGTGAGAGGAACTGTAGCCTACTTGTGTTTCCAAAAGATGTCTGATTATATGATAAAAGGAAAGTCTCAACATGGAGAAAAAGAAGGAACATGCTTTCTGGAGGGAGGTGCTTCAGTTACCCCATCACGTCTTTGAAGATAGGAGATTCCAGCCTAAATTCATCCTGACATGAAGATCTGAAGATCATGAAGGGCAGGAAGTAGAAGTAATATAGTCATTGCTGTACATCTTGCTCAGAATCTTAGGTAATTTCATTTTTAGGGAATAACTTATCTAATTAGGGTATAACTTGGCACTTATGCCAGAATAGCATGTTCCCCACTGTAGGGAGAGAAAGGATGCCTGAACACTTACTGTGATTGTCAGCAAAAAGTCCCAGTGTAACTTCTGTTGTTACCAGAATTTGTTCTGTAAGTTTTGACATTCGAGGGGGAGAAACTTTTGATTTAAGAAGAAATCCTGACTATTTGGTCTTTTAATGAAACCTGGGAAATTAATTACTGTGTTTTACAAAAAGAGGGGGGAGGAGGGGTGTGATAAGCCTTGCTAATTGCAGCTCCTTGAATATTCTTTTGATATTTAAAAGGAGAGATAAGTGTTTAATGTAATATTCTCCAAGGGGAAAATTTCTTTTACCTTGGTTTTTTAAACTAGCGTGTGCATCCTCTGCCTCTTTGATCGACCAGAGGTTTTGAGAAACATAATGAAAAATAGTCCTGAAACTACTGAGCTATTGCTGTTCTGACAATTCTATTGTATGACAACACAATGACACAAATATCATGGAGTCCTTCTTGGACTATCACTGGTGGGAATACTTCAAGTGATGTAAGTTATGACCCCACCAGAGGTTGCTCAAACCATACTATGGGAGCACAGCTGAGCATAACAACTCCTTGTACTTCTAGTTTTGCAAGAGAATTTAAGGCTACTCTAAATCTTATACTGTTGATAGTGGTGAAATTTGTTTGCTGTTGTAGTTTGGATCGTAACTGCAGGGTGTGGATGGTGATCTGTCATATTTGCAACCACTTCTTGAGCACAGTAAGGTTAAAACTGCCTCCTAAAATGTGTAAGTAAAGTAGCTTCTTAGTGGTATTACATCTTACATGAAATCAATTGAAGTCCTGTTTTAATTCAGGCTATTGTACCTACTGCTTTCAGAACTCCATAGTGGAGAAAATGCTGAATTTAGGATATGGGTCTACAAGAATTTATCTGAAATGCTAATCGTAAATTAACAAAAGTAGCACTTTTTAAAGAAAGGTAAAAAGAAAAGGGTGATTAGTAAAAGACTAGCTTTATTTCATGTGAAGCTCATCAACAACTTCCTCCTTCACCTGTAAAAGTAATTGATTCTGTAACCTTGTGGCTCCCAGTGTTCCAAAAATGCAAGTAAATCCTAAGAGATTTGGTGGCATGGGGAGCTGATTCCTTCTTTCAATACCCTTTGGCCTCTGTTACATTTGAAATAATAACTACAGATATGCAAAGGTTCTTGCTTTTTCAAATATTGTGATGAAATCTCATCTTTATTCTGTCTTCATCTTTCTACCCCTATTCCAAGGGGAATGTAAAAAAAAAAAATATATATATATATATTAAGCAAATCCTGGATACATTGAGGGAACCTAGTCAATTCTATTGCAGAAATTGGAAAAGAATAGATACAATGTGAGGAATAGGGGGACAACACGTTTCAAAAAAAAAAAGGGGGGGGGGAGTCCCAAATCTTTTTGTAGTACGCTGGTTAAGGAGAAATTTTCTGTCTTCTGATCAGCCCCCTTTTAATTTAGAACAGGTTCTGGAAAACAGCTTCAAATAGAATGCTTCCTGAATCAGAAGGTTAGTGTTCTCCACTTGAGTTTGATGGTCCCTTGGCTGCTATACGCTGCCTGCCTTAAACTTTTTTATCAGTAGAAGGAAGGCAATTGAGCCTAATTGCCTTCATACAAGTAACTTCGTAATTGATCCTAGAAATGTCTTCATACAGGTAACTTCTAGATATGACCAAAACTAGTGTATTTTAATACTTGTTCCAGGGAGGAGTTCTTTTTCAAGCTATGCTAATCAGTCTTGAAATTTATTGCCATACTGATAAGTAGGGGTAATTTCTTGACCTATAGCTCGTAACTAAGATCCAAAAGAAGTCCTGCAGACTGAAACTTCCTACCATTGCCTCTGCAGAGCAAGAGAAATACTTCAGTAGTAAAATTTGCACTATGTATTGTAAAACAAATTTGTAGGAACCAGGTATTCTTCTGTTATTAACATCTTATCAGAGGAAAGCTATTTGCTTGATGTATTGCCGTATGTGTATAATAGTCTTGATATTGCCTCTTGTGTAGAAGGAGGCTGGGGTGGGGGGTAACAGTTTTTGTCTGCTTTGAGTGACTTGAGTTGTGGTAAACTGAGTGGTATTTTTTTGCTCAGATTTGATTTCTTACTGCTTAATAGTACATGGCTGCAGTTGACTGTGGTTTAGGGTGGCTTTATTTTTAAATATATGAGGTTACACTTTCTGAAGCTTTGTAGTTAACTTGGCTGTACAATACTTCATAGTCTTTGCTGGAAGGGGTACAAATCCATGTTGATACATTTGGAAAACAGTTGTACGTACAGCTGTCTCTATAGAAACTGTGAAGTAAAATGCTATAATTACTTTATATGGGCTACTGCATTTTTGTTGGGTCAGTTACGTCTTTAGAGCTGACTGGATTCAGCCCTGGTGGTGAAAGACACTATATCACACTATTAAACCTTTAAACTTTCTAGTTGCTTGAGAAGGGAGGAAATAGAAGTTCAGCATTTTCTGTGTGTGTGTGTGCATGCGCATGCGTGCGTGTGGGAGAGAGAGTGAAAGCTGTGCAGGCTGTTCAGCTGGGGCAGTCGGGGAAGTGACGTCCTGTATTATTTGTCGTTCTAGAAAGAACGGAGACACGTACTGTAGATGGGAGGACTCTAAAGAGGGCTGTATCTTGTTCAGTGTGTATAATTATTTATAAATGAGCAACAGGGGAAGGAGTGAAATACAGAGAAGCTGTCTAGTGTTTCTTTAATGTATTGGAGAGTTTCTTGATTTGTAACAGTTCTGTTTGTTTCAATTCCAAATTTGATTTTTATTTTTCTTTCTCTAGCATCTCTACGTTGCTAAGACACTGGACACTGCTTTCTTTACAGCAAGGAAAATCTGAATTCCTCCAACACTCAGGATGGGGAAAGATTATTATTCTATCCTGGGAATTGAAAAAGGGGCTTCTGAAGAGGATATCAAAAAGGCTTACAGAAAACAAGCGCTTAAATGGCATCCAGATAAAAACAAATCTCCCCATGCAGAGGAAAAATTCAAAGAGATTGCAGAAGCTTATGAAGTGCTGAGTGATCCCAAAAAGAGAGACATTTATGATCAGTTTGGGGAGGAAGGTATGTATGGCTCTGTTATACTCTGATTGGTCGCTTTCATTATGTTGAATGAAGCAAAATAAGCATAGATGATGCACGAAAACATGATATGTGTTGATATTTAGGCAATGTATTTGTACTGCTTGGAAGTTTGACTCATCAGCTTTTTTAATGTAAAATGTATTGCAGAGTTTTAATGCTGATCTAGTTTTATTTCTTATTTTAATGTGTTTTTGTGTTTTTTAAAAAATCCCAAATACTTGACAGGCGAAAAGTTACTGAATTGAAAAAGTTCGTATGACCCGTAAATATTTTTCTGGGATCTCTTATTGCTGTCTTCCCTTACCATAGCACTTTTTAAGGTGCAGTTGAAAAGAGATGTATTCTTTTCTTAAATTTTTGCTAAAGGGCAGTCTGCTTGATCTCAGCAGGACAGTCCTTCTGAGCCGAAGCCCAGGTGTCCAGTCTGTAGTTGTCCTTGGCTTCTTGCCTGGAGAGGAAAGAATTTGGCTGATGTCATGAAATACCAGAACAATTTTTTAGCTTTAATTGTAAACAGTGATAACATGCCAAGAGAATGAGGCCTCAGAAATGTCATATTTATCCTAAAATGGTTATCTGGAGAGGATGACTTTTTTTTATTTTTGACCAGCATGACTTTCAGTCTTATGATTGAGGAACAGAGGAAGTCATTAACATCCCTCCCCTTAAATGTATGGTATCAGAAATTCCACATGAAATAATTACTTCTGCAGTGACAAGTAGGTCCACTCAGGGCCATGTTTTTTTACTAATATAAAGGAGGACAATTAAATAGTAGTACTTTGGGGGAAAGTGTAGGTTCTTATGAATGCATAATAAAATTTGGTCCTCTGTCATCCGTAGGACTTAATACCATTGTTAACATCCATAAATTCATGTAGAAGACCTGCAGCTTCTACAGAGGATGCAGGTTTTTTGGTCTTTTGTTCCATTGCGGATGTTCAAAGCCTCAGTGCTGTTACTGAAACATTCTAGGAAAAAAAGCGTTTACGTAGATACCAGAGGCCTTTGTTGCCTCTTGGGTCTCTTGCCTTCTTGTATTTCTTCCTTCTCACTCTCTGCCTCCTTTCTATATGTCATTATAAACCCATTTACTCTGTGGATTCATTTGCATTTTGGATCCCTGTGCAGCAGCTCATCCTAACCACTTTCCCAAAAATACCATTGTAGTCACTTTTACCAAAGAGCTTGAAGTAAAGCATATAAAGCAATGCAGCCTTCGGCATCCTAGTATTGCATACTTAAAGGCAGAGGTTCAAAACGTAGATTTCTATTTATTTGGGGCATAATATTAAACCAAAGTGTGAATTTTTTAGAACAGTGAATCTGGAAATACCTCCTGATGCCTTGGTTGCTCTCTAAGCTTTTCAGTTGCATCTGAGAGTGTAACTAGTAGTTGTGAGGGAAAGGGGTGGGGTGGGGTGGGAGGAAGGAGGAAACCTTAGTGTTTTTACAACCAGGAACTTGATGTACTTTCAATAACTTTTGGCTAGCTATTCCAGAAGATGTCCTTGTACTATCACAGATTGAATCCACGGATCTGCTTGTTTGACATTAACAGTACTGTGACAGAAGGATGTAGTACATGTTGCTAAGTACTTTTAATATGGTCTGGTATTGAAATGGGGGAAACATTCTCAGTCTAATGTATTACTTGGTTACTGTTGATAACCAGTATTAAGCTTATGCATAGAAGGTCTAAAATACTGAGCCAAGAAAAAACAAAAAAACCCTCTCTTTCAAATTTAGGGAATGCATGCTTCATTAATGTAAGTCTTCACATTTTTGTGGCTATGGAAGTAGGATAGCAGCTGTAGTGCTGAGCTGCTGTAAGATTGAAAAAAAAAAATAAAAATAACCAAACATAAGTTTAAAAATAAAAGTCTCCTAAGAAGACTTTTAGCCTTTCATCTTGAAGGTTAGAGAAGGTATCTTGAAATGGTCAGTACAGGAGAGCACTAACTATTACGAGGAAATACTTAGAGATTACCTATTGAGAAAGAAACATTTAAGAAAATTGATTTTTAGCTAGGTTTGGAATGAGAGAGCAGGAAGTACAAGGGACTGCCCAGTGAGAATTGTAAGGGAAGTCTTATCAGCAATAAATGAGATGTAGATTTCTCCTTGTGGAAGATAGAACAGAAGGAACAAAGCTATTTGAGAACATTCTGATTTTTTGCACAGAGACAGTGACAGTATATACAAGATTTTTGTACCCAAATGGGTCTTGGGAATTTCCAAGCTATTTTTATTTGTGGCTGCATTGAAGAGTTCCCAGGTTTCTTACCTGTTTTATATCATAGAAACACAAGCTGTGATAAGTTTGGGATCCTAAATTGAACATTAAGAAAGCATATGGCTGCTTGACTATTGGCATGTTACCTTTTACTCAAACTGAATTGCAGGAAAACAGAGGTAAAGCTAACCAATACTGAGTTAAAGCTGAGCTATGGAGACTATGGAAAATGTTGCATATGATACTGCATAATTTTCTCCAGAAGTGATCTTGAAGAGGGATGCAACTCCTAAAAGACTTTGCAGAACAAGAAAAGATCCAGTAAAGCAGACCTGTGTTCTGTTTTAAGATGCTAATTCTTTGAATAACTGGCTTCAATCATATGAAATAAAATTGTCAGTGTCAGAATATTTGTTCTTCTGAAGTAGAAGTCATTTTAGAGCTTCAGAAACTTTGTTGCTGTTCAAGCTATTGAATTACTAGTTATTACTGCATAGTCTGATGGTGAGTCCTCAGTGAAGAGGAGACCTTTTGCTCTACTGCAAAGACCTTTTTGACTCATCAGTTCTGGTATCATTACACGCTACAATAGGAAAGCTTATTGTCGTGGTTTAAGCCCAGCCAGCAACTAAGCACCATGCAGCTGCTCACTCACTGCCTGCACCCCCACAGTGGGATGGGGGAGAGAATCAGAAAAAAAGTAAAACTCATGGGTTAAGATAAGAACAGTTTAATAGAACAGAAAGGAAGAAACTAATAATGATAACAATAATAAAATGACAATAATAATAATAATAATAGGATTGGAATATACAAGTGATGCACAATGCAGTTGCTCACCACTTGCTGCCTGATGCCCAGTTAGTTCCCAAGTGGTGATCCCTCCCAGCCCCGCTCCCCCCAGTTTATATACTAGACATGATGTCACATGGTATGGAATACCCTGTTGGCCAGTTTGGGTCAGCTGCCCTGGCTGTGTCCCCTCCCAACTTCTTGTGCCTCTCCAGTCTTCTTGCTGGCTGGGCATGAGAAGCTGAAAAATCCTTGACTTAGTCTAAACATTACTTAGCAACAACTGAAAACATCCGTGTAAACATAACATTATACCAGCTACTAGGTGAAACCAGGACACTTACACTAATATTTGATTTGTTTTTAACTTTGCTTATTTGTCTTATTTAGGTCTGAAAGGAGGAGCTGGAGGACCTGATGGACAGGGTGGTACCTTCCGGTACTCCTTCCATGGTGACCCACATGCTACATTTGCAGCTTTCTTTGGTGGCACAAATCCTTTTGAGATCTTCTTTGGAAGGAGGATGCCTGGTGGCAGAGACACTGAAGACATGGAGGTGGATGGTGATCCATTTGGATCCTTCACTAGTTTTAGTATGAATGGTTTTCCCAGGGAAAGGAATACAGTTGGTAGCCAGTTACGTCGTAAACAAGATCCCCCAGTGATCCATGAACTTAAAGTGTCATTGGAAGAGATCTATCATGGCTGCACAAAAAGGATGAGGATTTCACGTAAAAGGCTTAACCCAGATGGTAGAAGTGTCCGAACAGAGGACAAAATTCTTACTATTGAGATAAAAAGAGGATGGAAAGAAGGCACCAAAATCACTTTTCCAAAAGAAGGTGATGAAACACCCAACACAATTCCAGCTGATATTGTTTTTATCATTAAAGATAAACCTCACTCTCACTTCAAGAGAGATGGATCAAATATTATCTATCCTCTTAAGATCAGCTTAAGGGAGGTAAGTTTCTCTTTTGGTAGAACTCTAAATGTTTAAACCTGTTACAATACGATACAGTGGCTATGCTGCCCTAGCTGTATGGCAGCAGTGGAGTTGTTTTCTGTTTTGTTTTTTTTAAATAGTTTCAGTCTTGTAAAGCCAACATGTGGCTGCAGAGCACAGTTTTTTATAATGGAAGCAATAGCTGTTTTGATAAAAATGGAGTGTTATTTCAAGTTGTTTATTACAGAGGTGGAACAGATTGAGGGTGGAAGGGTAAGAGTAAAGGTTGATATGTCTTAAATCTTCATACTTTACCTTTCTAGCTAAATATGTATTAGGCTGAAGTAACAAACACAAATACAATTAACAAACACATTCCATATAGTATGCTTCTTACTGCTGTGATATGGTTGCTACTTCTGTAGGACAAAGTAGAAATGTCTTAAATATTTTCACTGCCAACAAATTCTAAGTCTGCCTTTTTATGTCATAAGTTATTTCAGTGTGATTTCAAAGTACATAGAGATTGATTTCATGAGGATAAATTATTGTGAACAGGTGTTATAGGAGCTATATATAACAACAAAAATGGTATAGCTTTTTTAAATGCCGTTCCAAGTCAAAGCACGTTGGCTTTCAAAAGGAAAAATCTGAAAGACAACTAAGCAGAGTTCTTAAGGGTCTGAAGCCTTGACATGGTCATGATTTAAAAGCTAATGTAGCTGAGTGTTTGTGATGTGGTTTTTTTTCTTAATTAGCATTAGGTGGAGAAATAACTCTTGCTTGCATTGTAAGTTCTTTGTGTACATTATGAGCTCCCTTCTTGAAAGCTTCTTAACTAAAAATACATCTGAAGTGAGGTAAAGCACCTAAAATAGGATGAGGGAGGGACAAAAGACAATATTTAATGTTGATGTGGGGTAATATAGTTCCTTCATAAATAAAAGCCTATTTAGACTCACTGCATTGTTATGTAAATTGGACATTATCAGTATAGACTAAGTGTGCTGAGTTAGGTGAAGTTGGAGGCATCAAAATGTTATTATCAGAGATCCTAGCAATGAAAACAAACTATTGGATAAACAGGAGAAGGCCTGTGATGTTTTAATTTTGATGCACCAAAATAGTTATTTGCTTTTCTTTGAGAATCACAAATGCTCACCTAAGATGGCTGTGAAATTTGATATGCCTCTGCTTATGGACACTTAAATGTTGTTCTGCAATTTGATATAATATAGGTTGATAGTGTGTTAAACTCCTGTGCAATGTAAACAAACAAAAAATGGAACAGGACTCTAAATTTCCAATGGAAACTGAGAAGCTGGACATTTCTAGAGAATATGAGTGTTCACTTTGTGCTCAATTACCTTATTATTTGGTAAAGTCTTTGAAGGATATATAAGCTCAATTACCCATCAGTGGCCATTGCATAAGATTGGTAAATTCTGTGATATTCAATGGCAAATTGAAGCTTTCCCTTTTTAAGAGAGAAACAATGTATTTGAATTTTCGCATCTTAGTAGTGCACAGTGGAAATACTGTTTAGAATGCTAGTCTCTTCTAAATAATGCAAATTCAGTTGTAGGTACAAATAAAGTTCTAACCAATTTCTTTTTCTCATTATACAATTTTCCTTTAGGCTTTGTGTGGCAGCTCTATCAATGTGCCAACGATAGAAGGAAGAACCATACCCATGACAGTAAATGAAGTTGTAAAGCCTGGGATGAGAAGAAGAATTATAGGATATGGTTTGCCATTTCCCAAAAATCCTGACCAACGTGGAGACTTAATTATAGAGTTTGAAGTAATTTTCCCAGATAACATTTCTCCAGCATCAAAAGAAGTACTTAGGCGAAATCTTCCAGTTTCATAAATGAAGACTTTGTATGTCAACTGTTTAAATAGGACACTGGAAATGCAGAAGACTGGCAAGTCTGTGCTTTAAAAGTGCAATCTGTAACAACTAGTGGAATATTTGTTTTTTTGTTTTTGTGGGATGGGTGGGGGGGAAATACTGTAATGCTGCATGAGAAGAAAAGGGTTAAGTACAAGTCATACAGGTGACTTCTGCAGTAAAATTTACAGGGAAAACCACTTATTTTATTTTACATCTTCCTAATCAGAAAAGTTTATTCATTATTTTGCCTAATGTAAAATGTAGTTGGTTTTTACAAAGTTGGCGCATATTTCTGATACAGTACTTGAGCCTCCAAGTACTTTATTTCTTATATTCCTACCCTAACTATAACATTACCCATTTATACAGAAATTGGAGATAGTAGTAGAAATACACAAATGTATAAATATTTTAAAGAGCAAAACATGAAAGATATCATTTTGGTATGTTGCTTTCCACTGCACAAAGCATAGGCTGGGAAAATCAGCTTGGACTCCTGAACTGCCCCCCAGTGGAATGAAAGCGTTTTCTTTATTGCCCCAGAATGCGTGAGGACGGCACTGCGAGGCTAGCAAAGGGCGTGTGGCTTGAGGAGCAAGAGTAGCCATTTGCTGTGGGACAGTTCCTCAGCCTCAGGCAGAACAGCAAGAAGGGATTCTACAAGTACAGAAACAGCAAATGGTCAGCCTGCTGTCGAATGGGGCAGGGAAGCTAGTGACAAATGACATGGAGAAGGCTGAGGTACTCAGTGCCTTCTTTGCATCAGTCTCTATCAGTAAAACAAGCCTTCAGGAATTCCAGGCCCCTGAGACCAGAGGGAAAGTCTGGAACCTCAGTGGTCGAGGACCAGATTAGGGTGCACTTAAACTAGAAGGCTGTGAGCCTGACAGGTTGCACCCCTAAGCGTTGAGGGAGCTGGCTAATGCCATTGCAAGGCCACTCTTTATTATCTTTGAATGGTCATGGAGATTGGGAGATGTGCCGGTAGACTGGAAAAGAGCAAATATCGCTCCTATCTTCAAGAAAAAACAAGAAGGAAGATTTGGGGAGCTATAGGCCAGTCAGCTTCACCTCAATCCTTGGGAAGGTGATGGGGAAAATCCTCCTGGAAAGCATTTCCAAATACATGAAGGACAAGAAGGTGATCAGGAGTAGTCAGCATATATTTACAAAGGAGATTTACCTCATTGCCTTCTGCAGTGAGGTGACTAGCTTTGTCGAAGACAAGGGAACAGTCCATGTTGTTTACCTTGACTTTAGTAGACAGACTGATAAAGTAGAGGTTAGATAAGTGGAAAGTGAGGTGGATTAAAAACTGGCCAAATGAGTGGGCACAGGGGGGGTGTAATCAGTGGTACAGAGTCCAGTTGGAGGCAGGTCAGTAGTGGTGTACCCTGTGGCTCAGTACTGGGGCCAGTACTATTCAACATCTTCATTAATGACCTGGATTATGGGATGGAGTACATTCTCAGCAAGTTTGCAAATCGTATAAAACTGGGAGGAGTGGCTGCTAACACCAGATGATGTACCACCTTTCAAAGGGACCTCAGCAGGCTGGAGAACTGGACAGAGGAGTCTCACAAAGTTCAACAAGGGGGAATGCAAAGTCTTGCTCCCTGAGGAATAACCCAAGGCACTAGTACATCCTGGTAGCTGACTGGCTGGAAAGTAGCTTTGCTGAGAAAGACCTTAGGGTCCTGGTGGACAGCAAACTGACTGTGAGCCAGCAATGCACCCTTGTGGCAACAAAAGCCAAAGCTTTGCTAGCAGGCTGCAGGAGATGATCCTTCCTCTCTCTACTGTCAGCACTGATGAGGATGCATCTGGAGTACTTTGTCCAGTTCTGGGCTCCCCAGTAAAGTAAAGATACAAACTTACTGGAGCAGGTTTAGCACAGGGCCTTGTATGAGAGGCTGAGAGAGCTGGAGCTCTTCGGTCTGGGGAAGAAAAGGCTTGGGAAGATCTTATCACTGCGTATAAATACCTGATGGGAGGGAATGAAGATGGGGGAGCCAGGCTCTTCTCAGTAGCTCTCAGTGACAGGACTAAGAGACAGTGGATTTCCATCTGAACACAAGGAAGCACCTTTTTACTGTGAAGGTGGTCAAATACTAGAACAGGTTGCCCAGAGAGGTTGAGTCGTTGCCATCCCTGGAGATAGTCAAAACCTGACTGGACATGGTCCTGGGCAGCCTGCTGTAGCTGACCATGCTTGAGCAGGGGTGTTGGATTACATGATCCCAAGAGGTTCCTTCCAACCTAAATGATTCTGTGAACTTGGAGTTAGCACCTTCCACTAGACAGTGTTATGGGCCATGTTCTGCACATGAGGCTTAGCCCAAAAATGAGTGGTACTGATGTGACGGCTTGAATCCCTAGGGAGTAGGTCTGTGCTTGAGTGGAAGGATGCACAAAGAACACTGTAAATGCATTTGGCTAGTGCAGGTATTTAAAGATCATGCTGATCTCAAGTAGTCATTATTTTCAAAGGCTGAACCTTACTCCCGTGAAGAAGAAGGAAAAGCCCAGGTCCTAGCTAAAGGAAAGTTTGTTTAAGACACAAGGTGGGATAGGGGTTGCCCATAAACTTTCATATGCTTGAATTGAGTCTTTTTTGAATATAAATGAGTTGCTTGTCTTTAGAGTTAAAAGGTGCATAGGGAAATGGAGAGCCCTCTGTAATAGTCTAGTTTTATAATACAGTGATAGGGCTGGTTCCCTTGATTGCGGCATGATTTTGATGAAAGAAATGCCTTGTGGGTGTGCTTTATTACTTGAGTTTAAAACCATAATACAGTGCTTTAACAATATTTTCAAAGGGTTTTTTGGGGTTTTTTTCTTCATAAGAAAATACATAAGATTTGTTCTCAGCCTTTTGCCTGTGGAAATTTAGTAGCTACCTGCTCTGTTAGGTACCTTAAGAAATAGCAGTGTTATCTTCATATATGTGGTTTTCTGCGGGAAAGTTGGGATTTAATTTACAATAACTTTTTAATGAGCACAAGAAGAATCCCATTTCTGTTACTGAAAGGAATAGAACTTCTGGGAGGTACTGTTCGAGTTAATTTTTCAACTGCAGATCTCTTCATACAGTGTCAGTTAGTTGTAGTCCTATATCTACAAGGAACTAAACAATTGCTGGAGCAGTATCACGAAGGGAAAAAATTTGCTGCTTAGTGCTTATGCGTATTGTTAACACTATATATTGTTTGTTCAAAAAATTCCCATTTGAGTATGTTCCGTATCGCATTTCTTATGTGGTTTTTAAGTAAAAAGTGTAAAGTTGGTTTTTAACTTTCTTTTATCTTTTGTTATGATGGCAGATGCTATAAGCTACATGACTTTAAAAACGTATCATCCTAAAAATACCTGTTTGTCAGTTTAAAAGCTAATGGAATTGAGCATTTTGTAATCCAGGATCTTGTAACCATAGTCCAACTTGTAAAAAAAAAAAAAAAAAAAAAAAAAACCAACCAAAAAAAGTTACAGCAACTAGGACTATTTTTTTGTAACCATCTTCAGGTAAGAGGAGTAGTGTTAAATTGAGGAATTGCAGTATCTTGTGTATTTAGAGGTGTATATATATATATATGTATAGCAAACTAAACTTTTCCAGCTGTTTTCATGCTCAAAATACAGGACTGTAGGAGTGGTATGAAATGCTTGTATTTCTTTTCTTATGGAGAGGTAACAAAGTATATGTTTCAGAAAATAGCATGTGGAATTACTTCAAAATATGAGAGGGAGCATTAATATCTATCTAATCCAGGATTCACAAAAAAATAATATTTTTCTAATCAAAAAATGTGCTTAAAAGCTATGTTTTAAAAACCAATTGATTATTTAATAAAGGCTACTTGGGAGAAGGAGGCAAATACTCAGTCACCTACTATATCTCTAACTACTGAAATACATGGAAATAAAATGGACATTCATGAAGTTGGGATGAGAAGGATATTTTCATCTCCTGAAGGTTGCTTACATGCCATAGAAAGTAAAAGTCATCTGGTTACTTTGGAGGAGTTCATTCAACAAGTCTATGAAAACCTCTACTTCTGAAGAACCTTTTTTTAATCTTCCCAACATCAAGCTTTAGGATAATCTGAAGCTGTTGGAAGAGTAGGGCAAGCTACATTACAACTGTTTCACCTTTTTGCCATGCAGTGGTGCTCTGTGATTGCTTCAGAGCAGGCTTTCTGATGTCATGAGGATATTAGTATTCCACTCTTCTGCTGCACGTTATTTGTATTATATATGCTGAAAAGTTGATGAAGCTTATTTGTGGTGTGTTGAACAGATATTGTGCTTTTGGGTTGGTTTTGAGTCCTAACCTGTTTACTTTGTTATGGAAGTAACAGACTCTCTTAGCTGGGGTTGGGTCTCCACTGTTGTTCTTGCCACATTCATCTTGCAACTTTGTGGGTACTCACTTCCATTTGCCTTTCATAGGGTAGAAGCTTTCTCTTCATTTGTATGTCCTCTTCTAGTATTAACCCCTATTTTCAATATGACCTTCAGTCCAAACCTCACAAATGGTGCTGAAGATGAGCAATATGTGTTATGATCAGTCAAATGAGATTATCAGTGTTCTAGTTCTCAGATGTGATAGTTCCAGTATTTTTAGTAAATGCTTAACACAGCATCCATGTGTGATTCTCAGAAATTCAAGCATAGGGAGGAGGCATCCATCAGATTGATGAATAGTGCAGTAAATGAATCAAGGTCTTGGACTGGTTGTACCTTAAATGCTAAAGAGCCAAAGCATGGATGAAGAAAGGGCCTATAGCTGGTTTGGTTTTAAAGACCCTGGCTGAGCTGTGCACAGGTGTCAGTGTGCTATGAAATTCTTGACCTTGCATAGTTTTGCTTAGAGACTGGAGGAGACCATTGTCTTGACTAGATAATCTGGTATTAGTTGTGGATTTTTTTTTTTTTTTTTTTTTTGGGGGGCCTGTTCCAAAATAAATCAGCAGCCTGGAAAGGGAGTTGTATTTGGCCAAGAATCAGTTCTGCATCTTGGTAGGTGCCACTAGCCCTATGCTTGCATAAACTGAACTTCCCTTATTAATGAGTCATGCTTTGTGTTAATAATTTTTTTTTTTTTGAGACGTACTGGGTGCAGCTGGCACCCAGTTTTTGTTGAGAGAGGGAAACAATAGTTGTTTCCAAACCTTATTTTCCTTGGCCTTTAGTTAAGGCTGTATGATCCTAGACATACATCTTTTTTTTATTCTTAGCGTATAACCGTTGAGTCTTTCAAAATATTTTAGTCCTAGAAAAAAAACCAAATCTCTAAGCCCTTAAGATGCTTTTGCCGCTCCTCAATGACTTGGTCTCGCTATGTGATGATGCAGTCTTAAAATGTGATTCTAGGAACTGTCTGTCTGGGGTGTTACTGAGCTAAAGGAGTGAAGTTTGTAGCCTTTGTAAGGGCTTTGCTCTGTTCATGGACAATTGACTGATTTTAAGAAGTGTTAGGCTGGTTAATCATGTCTCTCATCCTGTTGTGACAGACTGTGTTATTTAGGCATTTGCCTACTTGATGACGACCAGTGTGTCTGGCTGACAGGATTATCCAGTAGCAAGTACTTCATAAATAGGAGTTTGAGAGAATGATGTGCGTGACTGAATGGTATCTGTAGTATCCAATGGCAGAAAGAGTGGAATGCACAATGGAAGGGAAAGAATCATTGTTGGATGATTGTGGAGAAGAACAGAAGTATGTTTGTGAAGGTCTGGTCGGTCTCGCATTTGAAAAGCACACCCTGCCAGATCGAAAGTCACTTCCCCTGACTTCAACAGCATCAGTCCCGTAGGGATCCACTTACAGAGCTCCAAGTCATAGTGGTTATGGCAGCTCGTGCTGACAGATTCTTCTGGCCCCCTGTGTTTGTATAGTTGATGAAGCTTCTTAGAAGGTCACTAGAAAACTGACAAACTAAATGCACTCTATTCCTTTCTAGCATGCTCATCTTATGTGCTAGTCTGACTCACTGGTAACATACTTTTGGGGGTAGAATAGGTTTTACCCCACCAGTGAGATTTGCTGTGATTCAGGGTGAAATTCTGTGCACTTGAATTCATATGCTAGACCTAAAAAATACGGGACATGGACATGCTACTTTAAATACCATTAAGAGACAATTTTCCAGTCAGTAACTGCTAGTCCTCCTTTGCATTAATAGTTCTTACTACGCTGCTTACTGAACAAATCCTATAGAACCAGGGTATTCAAAATATTCACTTACTATTTGGCATGCAAACTGGGCAAATGGCAGTACTAATCTCATGAAGTACAGAATCTTAGCTCTTCATTTGTCAAATTGCTCAGCAATGGAATATTAGATGGAATGATTTGTTTCATTCAGGCTCCTCCAATTAATTGTTCTATTATGTAAAGAGTGAAAGTAGAGGTCTACTGTTGCTCCCCTTGGGTCTAGAAGGTATAACTGTCCTGCGTTTGTTTTGTTCCCTTGGAATTACTGGTTTACCCAAGGGAGGAGTTATACAACAACAATCTTGTTAGTCATGCCTGATTGCTTTATCGAGGACAAATTATCTTCAAACTCCTGCTGCCTTACATAATTAAAAAAACAAAATTTCCCTGAATGGCATGCTCCAAAAAAGTGCCTCAACTGCTTGTATTTATATCCAAAGAAAGGTTGATAAACTGGGTTCAAGGAGAAGCAGCCCTTGCCAAAAAAAGCTGTTGCCGAGTGTAATAAGGACCTAGAATCACTTCTGAGAGCAATCCAGGAAAACCATGTATTTTTATTTTCCTCATATACCAACAAACTGATTTTAAAGGTAATGGGAAGCAGGACAAAAATCCCTGGGATCCCCTTCTGCTCCCTATCAAGTCACAATTCCAAAATTGAAGTCAGCGTGGAAAGTAAAATTTATTGCTGCTGCATGGACTTTCAGGGGTGGTTTTACTGGTTGATGTTTTTCATGTGTCAAAGCCACAATATGAATACTTAATGTAGTATTGACAAATTTTCAGAAGATCAGTAAGTTTTGGTAATGGAGTTTGGTCCCCCTCTGTCACAGGCAG